TCTTCAGTTGTCCTGTGCGCTTTTATTTTTTCAGTAAAATTCTTTGCAAAGATGTAAGCACAGCACGGTTGAAGGATCCTAGTACCTTTAAGAAGTAAATTTATTTTACAGAGCCTTAAAATTATTGTATTGTTTTAGAAAAAGAAAACCTCCTAAGTGAGATTGACTATTTAAATGTTGTTCTCTTGTATTCTGCTCTGCATTGTTACCATCCCATAGCCAAGACCATGTCCTGGTGCCGCTCAGCCTGGAAATCCCAGCTTTGGTGACTTTATGGGAAGAGGAATGTCTCAGAGACACATGTCCTTGCTCTTGTGAAATAAGTGTACACCTAGTTTTAACTGGTATTTAAAGAAGACATTATTGGGTGAACCCTGTAGAGTAATGGTTAAAGGAGCTGGATCCCACATGTCCAATCACAGTTTGAATCCTTAGCCCAGCGGCTTAAAATATGTGCCAGCTGTGTCTGTGTGCATGCGTGAGTACCCAAAATCCTGATCGAATAGCGAAATGGAGAAAAAAAGATTGTGGAGTGATCATGCCCCATTCGGGAGTGTTTTCTCTCTTTCTCTCTCTCTCGCACACCTTTTGGCAATAAAGAAGAAGGAGAAGAAAAAGAAGGAGGAAGAGGAGAAGACATTATCTTCATATTAAGTACATATTTCCATGAAGCTGTGAAGCAATTTAATTGGCCAGTTTTGACTACTGTATTTCAGTGCTGATGGGAACTCAATAAGCATCAGTTAGATAGATCACTCTAGGATACTGTCGTGTTCTGGGCATGAAATGCTGTACCAAGCATGGAGAAAATAAGAAATTCTTCCCACAAGACCTCTCCAGTTTTATCAGGCTGTGGTTCCTGATTCTAGCACGTGTGGCACAAGCGTTCCCTCAGATACACCCGTTCCTCTACGATGGAGTCCGCTGTGTCCTCGTTCTGTCAGGGTGTAGAATTGGTTTGGAATCTGAAGTGAGAGCTTTGAGATACTTACAGCAAACCCAGCAGTAAACACTTAGTCTAATTCTCTACCTGGAAGATACGCTCTGTGTCTTCAGTTGTCCTGTGCGCTTTTATTTTTTCAGTAAAATTCTTTGCAAAGATGTAAGCACAGCACGGTTGAAGGATCCTAGTACCTTTAAGAAGTAAATTTATTTTACAGAGCCTTAAAATTATTGTATTTTAGAAAAAGAAAACCTCCTAAAATAAACTTTACTTAAAATACATACTTTACTAGACTGTTGTGACAGGAAATCACTAAGTGAAACCGTGTCTTTGGCAGAAATAAAGCATCAGGTATCAAATAAAATGGCCTCAGGCAGCACGTTAACTGGTAGCTTCCAACTAAATGCCTTCCCTTACAGGTAAGCCTTGGTATAGCTTATTTTTTTATTAATACTGTTATTAAATTTATATTCAACAATCATTTAAATAGGTTTAAGGTAATTTTCATCCATCAAGTTATAGGATCGCAGTAAAGTATCATTGCCACAGTGGAAACTTAAGGTAGTTCAGTGGTCCAAGAGAAGTTAAATGCCTTCTCCACACCTAAGTAAAATTTCTTCTCCTAGATGTTTCTCATTCTTCTTCTTCTTCCTCGTCTTTCTTTTCTTTCTTCTTCTTCTTTTTTTAATGGCCAGAGGACATATGCACTCCTCAGAGGGATACGGAGAGAGAGAGAGACAGAGCACCCCTAATGTAGCGGTCACAACACAACCCCTTCTCCATTTCTCCAGACTGTAGGGATTCAGGGCACATATGCACATGCTCCTGGCATGCTTTTCAAGCCCATGGGTTGAGATTCAAGCCACAAGTCAGCCATGTAGGATCCAGCTCCCTTAACTACTAGGTTACAGGGTCAGCCCTCCAACTCTTTTTTATATACGTTTTTCACGATAGGGTGCATGTACTCACCAGAGAGAGAGAGAGAGAGAGAGATGGAAAGAGGGAAAGTGAGAAATCAAGGGATTGGCCACTCCGCAATCCCTTCCCCTCCATTCTTCTCTCAGGATTTTAGGCACCACACACACGTGTACTCAGCATGTTTTTCACATCATAGGTCCTAGACTAGAACCATAGGGTTAGCGGCGTAGGATTTAATACCTTAACTATGATGCCACCTGCTGGCTCCCAGCTCCTCTTTTAACTCATTTCCTTCCTGCACATAAGTTGTATTTTCCAGTTGTGGACGACATCCTTTCACAATGAAGGGACCCCAGGTCTCCTCACAACTTCTCTGTAGCCCTTGGGTGTGTGGCTGAGCCTGCGAGCTCCCTTTGCTCACCTTTCTGTTGTTGCTCTTTAGGAAGAGTTTCAGTTGCCCTCCATTTGCTTCTCTTTCTAGAAATTCCACAAGGTTGGTCCAACCTACTTTTCATCCTATGAATCTTGACATTTAAGGTCATTTTAAAAATTTATTTTCTGCTTCCTCCACTATAATGTGGACTTCATGACACTGTGTTGGCTGTTCTTCATATGACGGGCCCTTGATGGACAGTGCAGCCAACCTTGCATTCACTTGACCAACTTACTCTCTATATCAATATCTCGATGAATGTTGGATGTATTGGGTAGATTTGACCTGGCAAGAAAATATGCCTGGGCTGGAAATCAAAAGTGCTCACTCCACCACTAATTAACATGTACTATTCATTTGCATTTGCAAAATGAAGAAAGATATTGTCTGTCTTATGGTCTTAGGAGGATCCATTTGCATGGTAGATGTAAAGGCACCTTAAATGTTAGAAGTACACAACATACATAAAGTGAGAGGCATGTGTGCAAATCTCAGTCTCAAGGCATTCTCTACCACTTTCCTCTGTTCTGTTTTTGTTTGTTTGTTCCTTTGTTGCTAGAGAGTATTTGGACTTACCAGAGAGAGAGAGACAGAGAATGGAGAGAGGAGGGAGTGGTGACTCACGAGAAATGGTGAGACCTCAATCCTATCTCCTCCATCTCTCCCTTCTTTCAGAATTATGGGCATGCCTATGCATATAGGCACCCACTGTGTTTCTCAAGCCTCCAAGTCTGGCACTAGAACCATGTGGTAACCATATGGGATCTAGCTGTCTTAACCACCAGGCCAGGGAGCCACCCTATACCCACCATTCTCATTCTATTGGATCAAAACTCTTATTTGCCACTTGAGATTGACATACTTCTTTATTTATTACCAGCATCTTCCACTACAATATAGACTTCACAGGACAAGAGTCTTGTCTTTCTTGTTCACCACGGTAACCTCAGCACCTTGGTCAGTATCTGGCACATGGTACAAGTGTAATAATGTAGATTGAAAGAACAAATGCGATTTAGTGGTTTAGGGAGTCTTGGAGCTGCTGTGTTTCTTAAATCCCAATGTGTTTGGTTTGGAGGATTCCTACTTATAATAAATAAATGCAAGCTTTTTATTTTACTGGGAATATTGACCCAATTTTTAAAGTAGCCGAACTCTTGAATTTGCTAAACATCAGATTTCATTCAACCCGTTGACATAAGAAGAGAAGCTGGGTTTTCACTTTTTCTCTTGGTACATAAATACCCCCTTGCCATCTAAAATATGTTTAATTTTGTAATTAAGAAAGGAAAAAGAGCTCCTTTGGAAATATTTTTCTCGGAGGCCCAGATAAGATTCCATGTCATTTTAACAAATCTTTATTTATTTTCTGCTAGAACAGACATTGGGTTTAATGTTGAATATGTAAAAGTAATTTTTTCCTTTAAGCCTATTTGTGTTCATATGGGAATAAGAATGCATTGAGCACCACTGTGTATTGTAAGCCAGGCGCTGAGACATGAAGACACACGATTCCTGCCATCAGAGTGCAATTCCTGCCATCAGAGTGCGATTCCTGCCATCAGAGTGCTTAGGACAGAGAGATGTGTCACTCAGTGAGTTTGGGTTAGGTGACATGAGAGCCATCATGAAGCTCAAAAGAGGCTCTTAGCTGATGGAAGAGAGCCTGCATGGGAGCCAGGGCTTCCTGACACTGAGCCGTGAGGGTGTGGCCGCTCATGTGAGCGTATGGAAGAGAGCCTGCATGGGAGCCAGGGCTTCCTGACACTGAGCCGTGAGGGTGTGGCCGCTCACTGTGGAGGAAGGATTCATCTGAGGAATGCTTGATCTCTGTGGTGCCGTTACAGTGCCCTCCCGTGTCCTGTGTAGTGCTGCTTTGGGAAGAGCATGATCTCCCAGCCCTGTGCTAATGGGGGGGTGTCTGCGTATCCCAGTGGACTTCCCCAGAACCATCTTAAAAGATCACGCTCAAGAGAAACAGAACAGTAGGACTCCCACCTGCCTCTGAATCAGTGACAGCCTGAGCCTTTAAAGTTTTTCTCCATCTCCAGGGTGGATTTCGGGAATTGGCTGGGCAAAAGGCCTTCATCTGCAGTTTGCTGCATGAATTTTACTTCAGTTCATTTGCTTACATCTGTATTTTTTTTAATAATTATTTTTTATTTAACTTTATTTATTTATTCACCCATTCCAATCTGATCAGAGAAAAACAGAAAGAGAGAGAGAAAGGGAAAACAAGAAAGCAAGCCACCAGGTCCAGGACTCAAACCACGGTCAACCATGTGGGAGTTCAGCACCCTTAGCCACCACATCACCTGCCAGTCCCTTGAATCTGTATTTTTAAACCTCATTGTAATCGACCAGGTGTAAAGAAATATTGAGCTATAAATCATATGTGCAGTTGCAACATCAGCCCTAGTGGTAGCAACACAGGCCATTCTCCTGTCCCCAGATCACAAAATGAAACAACCAAATTTGCAGAATTTGCTTTTATTTAGTCTGCAGATTTCTTTTTTTAGAACATAATTTTGTATGTAATTATAGAAATGTGTATGCCTTGGAACTTATTTTACTTTAATTAATTTGACAAATCACTGCTATTGGTAGTGTGTGTCCACCAAATTGTTCCACTGTTCCTTCTCCCAGTTAGAATTCAAATACAGTACATAAGTGTACTTTTTTCTTTTTGTGTTTGTTTCTTCTTAGGTTACCATTATTGCAGATGATAACTGCAGATTTTTATGCTGGTCAAGAGAAAGGTTAACTTACTTTCTGGAATCAGAGCCTTTCCTGTATGAAATATTTAGGTATCTTATAGGAAAAGACATTACAAATAAGCTCTACTCTTTGAATGATCCCACCTTAAATGATAAAGTAAGTATTTTCCTGAGTTTGTCTATTCAATTAAATAGGTATCTCACTTGATGCAATATATATTTTCCTGAATTTTCATTATATGTTAAGTGCAGTGGAGATACTCCTAATGCAGAGATTTTAGAGCCATGTCTTGAAAGTGAGGAAGTATTTTCTAATTATTACACTTGCCAATACTTAGTGAGAAGTCTTTAAGTGTCAGGCACCAGCATTTATGATGATGAGGTGCTGTTCTCTTCAAAGGAGTCTTTCCAGCAGTCGAAGGAAGACAGAGAAAGAGGAGAGGGAGGGAGGAGGAATCGGCCAGGGAAAGTAGGGCACAAACCTCAGTGAGCAGGAAATGGGCACTCGAGCTCTGGTATCTGCCAGTCTTGACTATCTTCCCAACCAGGCCTCCTTCCAGAAAGCCCGTAGGTAACAGGAGAGCTGTGGAATTTCAGAACTACATAGATCATCAACAGTTTGTTGTTTGACTTTAATTTCTCCACATTCATTTTGATAGAAGCTTAAATGATTATGTTGATAGATGGGAACTAGCAAAACAGTCCCTGTGGTAACTACTGTTCTCTTGGGACAATGAGTACAGGTGTGTGTCCTCTTGAAGTCATTCCATCTAGGCTGTTTATCAAATTAAGTCTGTGCCTATTGTTCCCAGTTACTAAATAGACTATTGAGTATATTAAATTTTAATAATGTATTTGTCGTAATAACTAATAACAAAAGTCAGAGTTTACATTTATCCGGCATGTAATGTGTGTGTACCATGTACTCTTTTTTATGCACGAACTTATTTTAAGGACAAGTACATGCTATTTACAGGGGATACATCATCCATGTCTCATATACCTCTGAAACTGTCAAACTTTGCCTTGTAGAAGGCCAAAAAGTTGGAGCACCAGCTCAGCCTGTGCACGCAGATCTCCATGTTGGAGATGAGGAATAGCATAGCCAGCTCCAGCGACAGTGAAGACGGCTTGCACCAGTTTCTTCGGGGCACCTCCAGTGTGTCCTCCCTTCGTAAGTTACTTTAATACCGGTAATACTGCCATGTTCTTATGGACAGCACTAGAGACTGACGAATGACAACTTCGATCAGAGTTAACCTCGCAGTCCAGCCTGACAGCACAGCTGATAGCAAACAGAACAACTGTAGTGCTAGAAGCCCCACGATCAACTGCGAGTTCAGATCTCCAGGTGGGCTTGGCAATGTACCAGGTGCATGCATACGTGTGTGCTCAAGAGCCTGAGGAACCGGGGCGCTGGGAAAAGGGTCATGGTATGACTAGACTCTGTTAAGGGTATTTGTCTTTCTCTCCCTCTCATGCACACATTCTCTCTGTCATGAATAAAATAACTTTTTTAAAAAAGAAATACAACATTGCAAAATTTAAGCATACTAATAAAAACAGTCCGGGACCAGCAGTTAGCATAATGGCTATGTCGTTGAACTCCCATGTAGTCGACCAGGGTTCGAGTCTGGGACCCAGCGGCTTAAACTCACGCCGGGTGCATGTGCGTGCGTGGCCAAGATCCCTAGAGGAGAATGGAGTAGAAGGGATTGCGGCGCAGCCATCCCCCCTGGGGGGTGATTTCTTGCTTCCTGTCTCTCTGTCTCTCTGTCTCTCTCATGAGCGCACGCACTCTATAGCAAAAACTTCTCCAATAAAAGTCCATTTTTTTCTAACTTTTTTCTATATTGCTTATCAATTAAAATCCAACTTTAGGATTTTTATTTCTGTTTCAGAAATTGTTTACTTGTTTTGCATATACTTTGACTGAATATTGGCTCGCTGAGATAGTGTAAGAGTCCACATGACTTACTGGGTATTGGCTTTGTTGTTTTCATGATTATATTGGGTTGTCAGAAAAGTCATGACTTTTTTTCTTTACGTTTTTCTGTGCAAAAATGCATCACGACTTTTCCAACAACCCAGTAGTTAGAATGAAAACCTAGACCCATGATGTTTTAAAAATCATAGGAAAACAACTGCTAGTTATCTCAGTGTGGGCACCGAGACTTAAAAATGGATTATGTAGTGGGATGTTACTGAAGATGAAGGACACTATTCAACACTCCTGTGAGTTACCGCATTCACACACTTAGCAAAAAGCAAGTTTTCCAAGAAAGATTCTTCTGCAGTTCAGATCATTTTTAAACATTTTAAGGCTGAGCTGCAGTGGTGCAGATAATAGTGTACTACGAATCGTGTACTAGAAACTAGTACTCTCCAGTACTGGAAGCCACATGGCCAACCATGGCTTCAGATCCCAAGTCAATTTGAAACATGCCTGGTGGGCATGCCCAAGATCCTGAGCAGCGGGAGGGCTGCGAGAAAGCAGTTGCCTGGATAAGACTCTGTTGAGGGTTCCTGTGTGCCTCTTCCTCTCTCTTATGAAGAAAATTAACTTTTTTTTTTTTTAAAAAGCAGTTTAAGTAATGCTAATGACACATATTGAAAATTAGTAAGTAAATGAGTGAAACTGAATTATTTTAATAATTAAATGTTTAAAATTATTTTAAGAATGATTCTAAGAATGTTGGTATAAGAACTTAGAACACATTGGGACCAGCAGTTGGCGCAATGGCTATGTCGCTGGACTCCCATGTAGGCGACCACGGTTTGAGTCCCAGACCTAGTGGCTTAAACTCACGCCGGGCATGTGTGCGTGCGTGCCCAAGATCCCGAGAGGAGAATGGAGGAGAAGGGATTGTGGCGTGGCCATCCCCCTCGGGGGTGATTTCTCTCTTTCTGTCTCTCTGTCTCTCTCTGTCTTTCTGGCGAGCACACGTGCCCTATAGCAAAAACCTCTAAAGAAAATAAATAAATAAATAAAATAACTTAGAACACATTCATGTAAGATAGCAAAAAAAGATACATTCTTCCATTGCACCAAATGAAAAATTATTCATATTTCCCATTGTATTTTAAACCAAAGTAACTTTTTAAAAGTGTGACCATACATTCAGTAATCTTCTATGTTTATGCAAATGATTTTGTAACTCTGCTTGCTTTAAGTATACTGGATTAAGGATTTGAAGTGTTGCATAGAAAAATAAATCAAGTGTTACATAGTCTGGAGAAGCTAGGCTCTACAAGGCTGTATGCAGACTTCACAGAAACTGTGGAAAAGATAGATTACGAAAAAACTCATGGTTTTCAGAGTGTTTTGCACCAAAAATAAACTCATATTTTAATTCCATTTTTCTGTAAAGTTTCTGAATTCCCTTGATATAGTTGATGAATAGGGGAAGATAAAGCTCTACCTCTTCTCTTTTAGAGTTGGTTTTTGTTTTTGTTTTTGTTTTTGTTTGGTTCAGCCTGATAATTAAATTGACACGAGACAGATTAGCAGAAGAAAAATGTGCATGTTTAATTCAAGTTTTATGTGGCATCCTCAGGGAGACTTGATAGGGAAACAAAGACCCAAAGAAAGAGTTAGGGTCAAACATTTATATACAGAATTGGACAAAGAATAGTGAAAAAAGCAGCTAAATTTTGTTGTAAGACTGAAAGAGTTCATTTTAATAAGTCTCGGACAGAATTCTCTGTCTCAAATCTCCTTGATAAGACTGTTTTTTTCCTTTTGGTATTGGGAATGTCACATGGGAATTTCATCTCCTGTCTTTAAGAAGCAGAATGAAGGTCAGTGTGATCTTGTACCTGCTGCTTTTATTTTTAACTGCCTTTAACTTGAAATAGTCAATGGCATGTTTTTTACTTCAGGGATAGCCTTCCAAAGGAAAATCTAGACATAGAAATTGTTATGGACCTAATGGGGATTTTTAAGAGCAACACAATAAGAAATTGCAAGTGGTTGTATTTTATTCCATAGTAATTTTTGATGGCATTAGCTGAGGCTCCCATGGAGGGTGGGTACTGTTCAAAGCTGGGTCCTCCCCATTCTGGAGGTTGGCCAATGGTGCAGCCATTGAGTGGCCTCTGTCTCTGGATTGTTGCGTTGTTATGGCAGAGGGACAACACTTGTGTCCCAGTCAAGCCATGGCCCTTAAAGGGCCTAGTTTGAAGTGATGTATGCTATATTTTCACTCATGTTCCCCGGCCAGAGAAGTCACTTTGCCAGAACCAACATCAGCTTAATCCTTTTGCAGGGAAGAGCTGGAGAGAAAGGGGCTAGTGAAAGAAAGAAGGCAGATAGTTTGACAACACCATCATCTACTTTAGTGGCAATTTTGTCGTTTACAGGGGAGGGAGTTGGGAAATTTGGGAAATGAGATGCTTATTCACTCATTTCAGTTCTATAGGAGTTGATACAAACCTAGGGATCTTACCTGTTTCCAGTGCTCGTGCTTATTGACAAGATTGCCTCTGCATTTTAAATTTTTTAAAAATGGAAATAATACTGCTTAGTGCTCTATGATTTATAGGTCACTTTCACATCTATTCTTGCATTGGAACCTGACAGCTCTGTGAGGGAGGCACAGTAGCTTTTGTTATTCACCCCTTCCCAAATGAGTCTACCTGCAGGAGGTGAGAGGCAGTAACCTGTCCAATCACTTTCCACCCCTGCCTACTTTGCTGGAGAAACCTACCACTCCTAACTCTTTGTTTATTATTATTATAACTTGCCAGAAAGAAGATGCACTCACCAGAAAGAGAGAGAGAAAGAGAGAGAGAGAGAGAAAGCATCTCCATGGGGGCATGTCAGGCTGCAATCCCTTCTCCCTCTTCTTGGGACTTTGAGCACACACTCACACACACCTAGCAAGTTTCTCAAGCTGCTGTGTCCAGTACTCAAGCCATGCAGCAGCCATGAGGAACGCACCTGCCTTCACCACCATGCCACTGGCCCCCTGATTCTTTCATTGACTAAGCAGCATTGTGAGTAGGTTTCCATAGACTTGTCAATGTAAAACATTTCTTAAACATTTATTATTATACTAATTTTTATATTACATTTAATCCCATATATCTTTACAGTGTATTACATTTCTTTTTCCAGCACGATTACCATGTGTATCAGTCAAGACAAAGACATGACTATCCACATCATCATCAAATAGCCTTTCATCATTTTTTTCAGATTACTATTATTATTATTTATTCTCATTCTTTTTTAAACATTCAATCACTATATATCATTTGGCTTGTAAAGGGAATTTACCCAGCCTGAAATACTTATCAGACCAGTCCAGCTGAGCATACAATGTAATCCATTTTAATAAAAATGTTTGCCTCCTTTTGGTACTGGTATACCAGGGTTCTACAGAAGAACATTTAAAATCGTCCAGTGATATTCTGCAGTCATTTAGATTTTAGTCAACTTTCACTTTGCCTATTGTATGCTGACTTACAAAACTATAAGCAATACTTATCTATTGAAAATTAATGTAGTGGGGCCGGCAGGTGGCATGGTGGTTAAAAGTGCTGGATGGCCAACCGTGGTTCGAGTCTAGGACCTGGCTGCTTGCTTTCTCACTTTCTCTCTCTCTCACTCTGTCCACCTCTGATCAAATTGAACTAAACAAATAAATAAATAAATAAAATTAAATAAAATAATTCTTTTTTTGGAGAGTTTTTTGCTATAGGGCGCTGCGCTTGCCAGACAGAGAGAGACAGAAAGCGAGAAATCCCCCCCCAGGGGGGATGGCCATACCGCAATCCCTTCTCCTCTGTTTTCATCTCAGGATCTTGGGCACGCACGCACATGTGCCTGGCATGACTTTTAAGCCACCGGATCCGGGACGCGAACCGCGGCTGACTACACGGGAGTCCAGCAACATAGCCATTACACTAACTGTTGGTCCCATAAATAAAATAATTCTTTAAAAAAATTAATGTATCTTGGGGCCAGCAGGTGGCATAGTAGTTAAGACATTGGATTCCCACATGGCCAACAGTGGTTCAAGTCCTGGACCTGAAGGCTTGAAAACCACGCTGGGCACATGTGTGTGCATGCCCAAAATCCTGAGAGGAGAAGGGATTTGGATGTGGCCCCCTGGGGGTGATTTTTCACTTTCCCTGTCATTGTCTCTCTCTGTCTCTCTGGCAAGTGCA